GTATAGAAAAATAATATTTTAATCATTTTCCAAACTTTCAGAGCAGACTGTATACAAATGCTCAACTTCTCGCGGGAGTTCTCAGCCCTCCAGATAAACTTTTCAAGGTCATTACATTCCAATCGTTCCTTAAAGAGGGATTGCATCACGCCTGAAGGTTCAATGACCTAAAATGTGCAGCTACAGAAAAAATCGTGGTTCTGCACATTCTTTTTAGAAATCTGGGAGGATTTTCTTGTTGCTGGGGTGTACAGAACACCCCACGCGAGTGATCGCGGGTTAACACTATTAAATTTTAGTCTAGCTTAGGGTTTTACAAGTTTTTGTAAGAAAAATTCTAGAAAAAAAAATTGATTCTGCATTATTTCTGGAAGAAAAGTAAATTAGAGTTTTTTTCTTAACCTTTATCTTCCCAGCTCTAACTTAAAGTATAGATTGTATTGAAACAAATTTTTAATTATTTTATCATTACAATATATTCCAAGCCTAAATGAACAAATTTGTGAAAAGAGTTCGATATTTATTCGATTAGCAAACATTGGATTTTGTATTTAATCCTTAACTTCGCACTGTTGTATTTCTGCAACATATGATTTATTTTAATTAAACAGACTCAATATTTTTTTAATTACCTACAAATCACTTATCTGAGAAAAAAAGATTACTGCTACGAAATACATGCTAATTTTGTCATTAGATGGAAGCACAATTTTCCAGAAATCACAAAAATTATAAAAATCTCTGATGCCTCAAGAACTGTGTTTTTGCTATAAAAAGAATCCATTATATTTTATGCTTCCTCTTGTTTATTGACGAAATATATTACCAGGTAAGAAATTTACACATTTTATGATGAATAATAAAATCCTCATAAAAAAAGTTTTGTAATTTACAGCACTATTGCGCAATGTTGCACTTCTGCAACAAACAAAAAAATGACTGAAATTCAATTTAAAACTGCTTAATTTTTTTTTACATATTTTTCCCTTTTGTTATTACTTGAGAACTAGCTGATATAATTTTTTCATAGAAATTGAAGAAATTGCCAGATTAAATTAATTGAAGCAACTTAAGTCTTGCCTTTTAGGTATCAGCGAAACAGAGAGCTCATTTTCGAAAAAACCTAGATCTATCTCAGTACTTCTTAAACTTTCAATATTTGTGACCCAATTTTTAATCATAATTTTCCTCGCCCCCCCCCATACAATAACAATGTATTGAACGCAATAATAAGGTTAAAGCTACTGTACGCGATTTTAATTATAAATCGTACAAATTATCAAGATAAGAATTAAATTTTGTATGTGTTACCTTTAAGTGATAGATATTTTAAGAAAGTTACTTTTTTAAGTAAAAGGATAAGAGTGTTATGTTAGCATAGTAGTTAATAGGATAAGTATATGTGTTAGCATAGTAGTTAATAGAATAAGTATATGTGTTGTTAGTATTCATAAATTAACTATCAAATATATATATACATTGTGCAGTATTGAAACATTTATATAATATATCAGCGTAGATGTGTATTTTATTACCTTTTTATTATGACAATATTAATAAGCTCCATGAACTTAATGATAAGCTCGCGTCCCCCGTGTAGGGTTATCACGCCCTCTTAGGGGATCGAGCCCCAGTGTTTCAGAAACGCTATGCTATCTGACATACCAGTTCAAAAACCCAGTAAAACGTTACTTACCAGTTCAAAAACC